GTAAACCCGGCCAAGGAAGGTTCTGGAAGCTTCCCAAAGCAAGGAAATCAGCTTTCCACGTGTGCCTTACACGGGCCGGCCCATAAAAGAATCATTTTCCTTTTTTCTTTTTCTTTTTTCTTTTCCCTGGTTTGAGAAATTCTTTGCAAACACGCGAACTTTTTCTCCGAATTAATGATTTTCTTAAAAAAAAATTGGACGCACTTTTTTGGTAATTTGATGCACTTTTTTTTCAAATTTTTGCACCTTTTTGAAAATCCATGAACTTTTTTTGAATTTTGGAAACTTTTTTCAGAATCGACCAACATTTTCAAATTTGATAAATATTTTTTTCAAAATCGACAAACATTTTTCAATTTTGATGAACTGTTTTCTTTTTTTATGAACCTTTTTTCAAATTTGATGAACTTTTTCAAATATGTGAACTTTTTTATAATTTGTGAAGTTCGTTGAATTCGTGATTGGTTTTGAAATGTGTGAACTTTCAAATTTTCTTTACATTTTCCTTTCGGAAATATCATGTTTTTCTAAATCTGTGTGCTATAAATAGCGCAGTTACGCTTATTCTTAAACCGTTCGGCCCGCACTCTTGAGTGGACCTGGCCAACAACAATAGTTCGCTCGCTCGTTCGCCTGTTCATTCCATCAGGTGACAGGTGGAATGTTGACTGATGAACAGCACATCGTTGACTTCTAAAAAATGCAAAAACTCCAAAAAAAATCAGGAAATTAAGGAAAGTTCATGAATTCGTAAAAAAGTTCACAAATTTGTAAAAATTTTGCAAACCCGAGAAATTGTCATGAATTCAATAGAACACCAAGAATTCAGGAAAATTTCCATGAAAAATTGAAAAAAATATGAATTTGAGAAAAGCGCATGTACTCAAGAAATGTTTATGAATTCAAAAAAAATCCATGAAGTTGAGAAATGTTCACGAATGCAAAAAAAGTCATAAATTCAGAAAAAGTTCAACAAAAATCAAAAAACCTCTAGGAATGTTGTCCTTTGAAAAAAGTTCGTGACTCAAATAATTTCATGGTTTTTGAAAAAAATGAAGTTGAAATAATTCATCAATTTTGAAAAAGTTAATGTATTTTTTTAAAAGTTTATAAATAAAAAAGTTTGTAGATTTGAGAACATTCTCTGTTTGAAGAAAAGTTGATATATTCAAAAAAAAGTTCATAGATATGATGAAGTTTGCAAGTTTTGAAAAACGGTTTACGAATTTGAAAATGTTCATGTACTTTTAAAAACTTCAGGAAATTTTAAAAGTTTGTAATTTTTATAATGGTGTTTGAATTTGGATGAAGTCGCGCATTTGAAAAAAAAGAAGAAAAAAAAGAATAAACCAAAGAAAACCATTCGAAAAAAAACCCAGACAAAAGCTTCCACAAACTTGCCAAAACTTGGGCTGGAAGCTTGTCGGGGCTTCACAAAACTAGGAAAGGGACGCTTCGCATTGGTGCCATATACGGGGTAGCCCATAAAGAATCTATCGAGGATTTGGCGTAAACAACGGTATAAGCGCCAAATAGGAAACAACTTGATCGATCGATCGATGGATCGTACAAGGTACATGGAGGAGGAGCCAACACAGGACTAGATCCATCAAGGAAAAGGCTGATCGCTTGCTACTTGAGAGAGCTTCAAGTATGGGCCTAGGTGACCCTTGAGAGATAGAAGATTGGACCTCACATCCCTCCTAGATGCACCATTGCTGGCTCAACCTGATGTCCCGATGAATTTTAGGCGGTAACTGCTACTATTTTTTTTCTGGTCCTGTATTTCTATACATTAGGGTAGACCAATTGGGATGAGCTATTTCCAAACTCTCATATAACCTCCCTAACGGTTTCACGTTTGATCAGTTGCAACAGAAATTCCAGTCTCCTGCCTTTTGAGATTGAAATTATTTTGGACCTTTATTCCAGGCCTGCAATCCAATAATCTCTAACATTTGGCGACCCATGGGAGAACTTCACCTGGCTCATCATGCAAACGAATGCTCTGCTGGCCCACTCAATCCAAGCCCAGAGGCGACGCTAGCTAAAAAAACAAGAAGTGCGCTAAAGGCCGAAACTCTAAAGCCCATTCAACAGCGGGAGATAGACAACAAAATTTCTATCCAACCGCTTGACCTTTTAGAAGAATGTTTTAACTTTAGAACCTCCTTGTATCTACCCTTCGATGCACCATCAGGCAAATAAAATGCCCTATGACGGCAGTTGGGTCGGATCTTGGTATACCCCCTTCCCGGCTCTCGGGACCGAGACCTCATGTTCAAAATTTTTACAAGTGTTTCCCAGGAGACCGACTTCTGAGGCCGGCTTCACAGGGGAAATTACCATGGAGGTCGGCTATCTATGTGAACAAACCAAGAGCTGGCATGACTACCATTCAGATAGGGACCCGTAACTTGAAATATTTCGAATATATATGTTTCAGAAATTAATTTACTCAAATTTTTAAAAGTGTTCACCACACATTTAAAATGTTCATGTAATGTAGAAATAATGTACATGTAAATTTTAAAAATGTTGATAGCATTCAAAAAAATGTCCTTAACATTTGAAAAATATTCGTGTGTTTTTTAAAAAATGTCCCTATCATTTAATAAAATGTTCACAATTTTTTTAATTTATATCATTCAAAATATGTTCACACGTTCAGAAATATGTTGAGCACATTTGCTCAAAATAGTTAATGTAATTGCTTTTTTTTGTTTCATAACATTGAAAAAATGTTCTTGAACTTTTTTAAAAATTTCACGGATTTCAAAAACATGTTCAGGAAATATTAGAAAAATGTTTCTACAATGTAGAAAGATGTTCAAGTTGTTTTTAATATGTTTATACAATGTAGAAAGCACATGTAAAGAATCTTCCCAAAACCGTCTTAATCGGCTGGCCCACTAAAGCCACCGCGCAACCAGTGCCAGAGGTAAGGCGAGGCCAAGCTACATCTCGCAATATGAGAGACATAGCTCCCATGTAGAAAATAAGCACTGATGCCATGCGAGCTACCAAACGAACTGCAGAACTCGGTCCCAACCGCGGCGTTTCAGCTTGTGCAGACTTCATAGGGTGACTCGTGCAGGAAGGCCGAAAACAAGCCGAGCAACCAAACACACACAACAAGTTACCCCTCTTTATGGTCTCTTTGCTTTGTACAAGAAATTCGCCACCTACCCACACACAAAATGAATCTTATCTACACTAATTATGGAACAACGAAAATTGGAACGGCCTGGTTCGGAACAGGAAAAAGAGCAGATAAATTTGGAAAAACAATAGGAAGACAGTTCCGAATACAAATCGCACATAGGTCCTTATAGGCTACGCGCACCCGGCGCCGCCAACACGCAATCGCCTCTGCCACTCCAATTTCCTCTATTTATACGGCGCAATAGGAAAAGACTTCGTACTCCCCGGCCCCCCAAACCCCCGTGCCTCGCCGGAGCTCCGCCGCCGCAGCCGCCGCGCCTCTGTTGTCCCGGCCGGTCAATGCCCTCGATTCCATCGCCCCGCGCCGCGTATTCCTGATTCTCCTCCTCCCCCGGGCCCCGGGCTCTTCTGACGAGGAGGCCGACGACGAGGAGGAGGAGGTGGCGAAGGTGGTTGCCGGCGGCGGGGAGATGGGGCACGCGCCGGGGGTAGCTCGCGTGCGGCGGGCGCTGCTCGCCCCGTGCGTGACGTGCCCTCTCTGCGACGGCTACTTCCGGGAGGCCAGCGCCTTCACCGAGTGCGGCCATACCTGTGAGTTCTCTCTCCCTCTCTCTACCCCGCTCCCCCGCCGCCTCTACGATTTCTTTTCTCTTCCGTCCGCCCTCCCTCTCTCTTCTCCGTCGTGTCTGCGCTGCACGCGCCGGCGTCCCGCGCCGCTGCGCGCGGACGCCCCCATGCCCCCCCGTCGCGTCGCGCTGCCCTCCTTGGTTTTGGTGTCGGATGTTCTGCTTTCTCTGTCCCTGTTCCGTCTGTCTCTCTGTCAGTGGTGGCGTGGTAATCAGGTTGGCGTTCGACGCGACTTCCTGATCCCAGATGAGCGCCGGAGCCGCCACCGGTCTCGTGCGAATTGCCGAGGCTTCTGATTGCGTGCCGCTGCGGTCTGGCCCGGGCGGCCACCTTCCGCCGCGTTCGCTCTGCTTGGCCGGCGTTCTCGTTGGAGCTGGGTCTGCTTCGTCATCCTGGACCAAGAGGCAGGCGTTTCCTCTCCGGTAGCCGCATGCGCCGGAGCTACTCCGGAGAAACACTGTGCGGCCGATCGAAGCCATGGTTTCTTCGCCCGTGCTCTCGCGCACCAGTCCCACCGGAGCCGCCATGCCATCCCTGTTCTCTGGAGTCGACAATGCAGCCAAGCTGAATCTTTTGTGTGTGTATGTGCGCGTGTGACTGTAAGTAGCAGGTGTTTTGCTGTTGCATTAAGTGCAGGGTGGCTCAAACAGAGCAGAAGGGAAACAATAAAAATCCGAACATTAGCAGGTGTCAACAACACTTCGGCTGTACAAAAAAAAGGAGCAGAACTACTCTTGAAAAGCATCCATCAGGAGGCTAAATCCTACACTCACTAGCTCCCAAACATTAGCAGCCGTAGTATTCTGTTCTCTGAAAAAATCCTCTTGTTTCTCTCATTCCAAGCAAATATGCCATGCAGCTACAGTCGCACAAGCCACCTCCACTGCTCCTCTTTGCACTTGTCTTGTCAGAATTGTTGATCTTCTTCCACCATCATCCAGGGATCGAGCTTACAGAGAGAGCATTGCTCGCTACTCATGGATGGTGAGAGCCAGCAAGCAACCATACCTCTTTAGCAAATGCTTGACTCCTGTCCGTTTGGTTATGTTATCGATGCTTCTGGTTAGTAGAACGGGTATTCAGTGGCGTGCTGTCTTATATAGTTATTTGTATTGGGGAAGTATCTCAGATCTATGTTTTTGGTATAGCCGCGCTTCACATTGTAAAAAAAAAAATGGCCACACCACTTTTTTTTTTGACAAAGTGGCTGCACCACATGATGTAGATGCCAGGAGGATGATCACTCTGATTATCTAAACAAACGTTCTTGATTGATAAGCCTGACAGCTACTGCTGCACCGCAAGTACAGCGCAGTTGTCAGTCTTGTTCAAGCTATCAATCTGGATGCAAGTCAAGTATCTACTCTTATTGCATTGTTGCTACTTTGTATTTTACTCATAATGTAGCTTTCCTTTGTCGAGCACATAAAATTCGGTTCTTTCAAATCTCTGTATGATACTCGCATGCTTGTCTGTAGAGTTCCTCTTGTGACCATATTTTTGTAAGCAGTTTGCCGGGAATGTATTATGAAGAAAATAGATGAGGAGGAGATCGAAGCCTGCCCAGTATGCGACGTTGCTCTTGGGATCACTCCTGAAGAGAAACTCAGGTAAGTAATTGTTAAAATACCAAGGTTATCTGCTGTACAACATTGTTTTTCCAACTTGTCAGTTCTCTTTTTTCTTTAAATTCCTGTAAGTACACCTGCATAGCGTTAATAACATGTGAGCCTTAAGAAGTGGTGCTACCACTTTTTTAGGCCTTCTTACACTAATAGTACATACAGTGCATGTCAAAATGAGCCATTTGGAGGTTCTATGGATACTAAATCAAGTAAGAATACATGATCCAAAATCTTCTGTTCATCTGTAACAATAGAACAAATTCTATAGTTCTCCGTCTGCCTCAAAATGGCTCATGCTGCAAGTCCTCCAGCTTGTTTCATCTCAGTAATAATTGGGCCAACACAAAATTTTGTGGCTCCTCTCCCTCCTATTGCACGTGTCAGAGCATCATTGGATAAGTCGGCAGTTTGCCTCAGGGTCCACGTACTAAAGCCCCGCATCAGCGGCCAACAGTTTTCGTACTGCAGCCGACTGACCAGACCCCACAGTCCGACACTCCTGTCCTTGTCTCTGTAAGTTTTCCCTTCGCCGACGACGCCCAACGCAGCCTTAAGAACTTGGCAGTATAAGGATGTATAGACTATAGAGCAACAGATGGCCAGAATGGAGAAAACAGACTAATAAAATTCATGTTAGAATCCATATAAAACTATCATGAAGGATATCTGCGATTCCAACAAGCAAACATGTCGACACTTGTAACTTGATCCTTAAAGTGATAGGAGTTCAAATACATTTCCATTGTGTTTTCCATTTTAAAATTCGTACCTTTCAGTAAAATATGGTGTTCACACACACCATTTATTAATAGCTGCAGAAACAATTAGCTCATTTGGACCCTTATATAAAACAGTAGAAAAGTGCACTTAACATTTTTCTGAAGAATAAGAGTATATGTACGACCCTTGTACCGCAGAAAAGTGCACTTAATATTTTTGTGAGGAATAAGAGTATATGTACTGTTAATATCTCTATACACATTTGAATTAAAAATAGTTCCTTCTGGTTATTAGTGAGAGTATACTAGCTTATAATTACACTCCTGTGGATTCTACTGTATAAATCTTGCGTAAGTTGTAACAGCTATCACAGCTCTTCGTGCCGACTGCCTGCTACATTGTTATCTTGTCTAATAACACTGGCTGAAATACACACGCTTGCTAAACAGTGTATATGCATTTTTGTTTGGTGAAGCAAAATCTTAGAATTCCAGCCACCATCATTCTTTTTTTTTTCCTGCAATCTCGACTCAGGTACTCAACTATATGCTGCTACCTAACATGATTGATTGGTTCCTTGTTTGAAGGGCTGATATAAGTATTCAGGCTATCAGAAATTATTTGTTTCCACCTAAGGCAGATGTAGATGCTTTTGAGGCTCCAACTATTACATTGCCAGCGAAGAGAAAAGAGAGGTCCATTTCTTCCTTGGTTGAAACCCCAAAGATGTCAACACAGTCTACTCTGACAGGACGGAGAACCAAAGCTGCAAGAAGGACTATCACATCCCAGACGTTTTCTCTCGGTAAATTGCCAAATAAATCTGAAGACCGCTATCAGATGGCTGAGAAGGCCTCGGCACTAAAATCTACCAAGATGACAACATCTGCAAATAAAAAACAGGTAGTATTGAAGTGTTATCAACACATAATTCATATGCAAGTTTTATGCCAGTTGTCTTGTAACATTTTCTTATTCTAACTACACTTCCATCCCAAACAGAACAGTGTAGATATTTCTGAAGATGGAAAGAATCATGGGACGATTGACAAGGAAGAGCTTGAGAAGCCCTTACGGAGTTTAGTCGTGGCAAGCGCGAAGAAATCGCAGAATCCAAGTCCTTGTCTCAAGGAAAGTCACAAAAATAAAACAACCACAGAGCATACTCCGAGGGAAAGCCCAGAAGCAGACTCGCATGATGGAATAACTACCCAAGTCTGGTTTTCACTAGTCACTTCACCGAACCAGTAAGACCTCTTGCAGCATCTCTATTCAATATATATATACAGATTCTGATGGACCATGTGTTTTGTGTTGTCACATCAAAATGAAAATTGTTTTGCAGGATAGAAGCTAAACTGTTGCCTCAGCTAGAAAAGAATTTCTACAGAATTAAGTGAGTTCCCCTTTAGGCTTCAAGTTTCCTTGTCAACAATGATATAGGCCTCTCATACTTAGCATCCTCTTAATCATAGCATATGTTGGTGGAGATATTTTCCCAGCTTAGATGGCTCAGTGTGCTGATGCCCCTTTTCCTGTTATCTTTGATTGTTTTTTACTAGATGCATAGATTGCTCTGGTATTAGCAAGAGTTCTTCTCTTCATCTCAAAATATGAAGGTGAAGAACCTAGAAAAACAGTGGTCTTGTGAATTTTTATGACAGGTGGAGAAGATATTTCATCCGAAAATCCTGCATGCTTTTTTTCATTCATTCCTACCAGCAATTCAGTTTTCGCTGATGTAATAACATGTTAGTAGATTCCAAGAATTTAATACATTCTGTTCTTCAATATGATTTTTTCTTCTTGTTTCAGAGATGGAACTATGCGGGTATCCTCCATCCTGAGGCTGATTATGAAAAAACTTGAGCTAGCAAGTGACGATAAGGTGGGCCTTTTAGATGTCATTGTACTTCCATTTTTTATTGCTGCCACTCCACAAACCCTACTCAAGTCTGTGCCCTGCTATCAAGGTGCTTGCTTCCATGTACTACATTTACCGATAAATCTGGACTTTGCTACATTTCTAGATTTTGTTTTTCAGAAATTGTGAAGGGGCCACTGTCCCCATGGATTTCCATTAAAAGGAACCACCCTGCTGCATTTGTAGATTTGGATGGTGACATAGTAGGATTTAATTGCACCATTTTTCTGTTCAAAGCTCCCAAAGAATACGGCACTAAAACATTTTGCAGCTCAATGATCCATCCTATCATATCTCTTCCTGTTAGTGAGTGTGCGCGAGTCTGTGTGCCCACAAACCGAGAGTATGTGAACCTGCTCTTTTGTTTGACCCCTTGTGTATACACTTGTGCGAAATGCAGGTGGAGATCTTATGCCATGATGAGTCGGTGTGCCCCTCGACAACGCTGCACGGCCTACTCGAGCGGTGGCTGAGCTGCAAGCCGAAGGAAGAGGTCCTGAGGCCGGTGGGTGCTCCGGCGAATGAGTTTGTGATGGAGCTGCGCTATCGCCGGTGCCCAGGGTCCAGGCCCCTTTGCTGCACGATGAAGATAGCGTCCCTCCCCTGCCATTGCAGCACCTAGCTCCTCCGTCTCCGTCATCCGCTCATGCTCGTCGTTCAATGGTCCATCAGTCTGCCTACCTAGGATATATTATACATATAGTATTCTCACTCTATACCTGCATATCTTTCTCAATTTTGTTGGACCGTGTAAAGAGAGAAGGGGCGAAAGGAAGAGGTTAGCATACCCGTAGATTTGCTAGACAAAGAATCCGAAAAGTTTATGCAGGCTACATTTTTGGTTTACAGTTATGAATTCCTCAGTTGTTCCTCTCCCCCCTCTTTCTTGTGGTAATTTTGCTTCTTACCCACTGTGCAAGGCTGCGCGGTAGCCCTGATTTGGTCAAAAGATCTCGTTCTAGGTGAGATTCCTTCGGTTTGTCCTGTGGTGGTCTAGTGGTTTTGGCTGGTAACGGTCTATGCCAGGGCGTGGCCTGCAAAGCTGCACATCGAGCGAGCTGAACAGCTGCCTCCACAGGTCATTCTGATGGGCCCGTCTATGTCTATGTCTAAGCCGTTGACACATTTTAAGTCTTGTTCAATTCAGACAAGTGAAACAGTGCAGTGAAAGTGCCACTTACACCTTTTTATTCAGAAAAGCGAACGTTGCACTTCTTTACTAAACTAAAGTTCTGAAATAAAAAAATATTGCAGTAAACTAAAGTTGATTTGTCTAAATCCATTGTAGCTTAAGAAAAACTCAATCTATTTTGAATCAACAACAAAACATGACGGTGGATGTTTGTTGTCTAGGGCACACGGAGAGGTTGCACGTGGAGGCCCTTGTCGGCAATAGCAACGTTTATCGTTGATGGGGCACGGGCGCCCTAACGGCTTCCAGTCGGCATCAAACATGCCGGCGGACGTCTCTGCTCATGCAAAGGGTGTTAGGGTAGTGGCGCTTGGGTCATGGTGGATGCTGCGCAGGTGAGGAATGGTAGCGGCTAGATCACGCAACGACATGAGAGCGACCCCCTAACGACTAGGGCAGCGGTCTATGGTGGGAAGATGACCCATACATCAGCTATCATCATACCGTTGCGTCCTATCATGGAATACAAGCTGGCGTGACTACCTGAAGATCCGTTTTCAAGATGATAACTGGAACACTGCCTCATGTCGCGGCTAAAAATTCTTGTCCCCACCTTGAATATTTCAGTTTAGTAGCGGCAAACTTGCGTTGTTACCTCATTAAATGTTTTGTCTCCTTGTTGATGTGCTCCCTTCGATGGTTGGTCTCGAAAGTCAGGATGAATATTTTTGTCTTAGACCATTTTCATCTGAAAGGGGTGACGGAGGCGCAAGGCTTTTTTTATTCCTTCTTAAAGGCGTTGTCGTGCAAGAAGTTGAAATTGCATATATAAACCCTAAATGTATTTTGGTATTGATTACAGCATGATTAGTGGGATTAATGTTGGTTATCAAGTTTATCTTAAGACATTGGTCTCTCGGTAACAATATGGAGATGGTTGACCCCCATTTCAAATAGGAAAATGGTGTTAGTTTTCCTTATGCTCAAAGGTTTTATTTTATTTTATTTGTGATGGAAATATGCCCTAGAGGCAATAATAAAGTTATTATTATTATATTTCCTTACTCATGATAAAGATTTATTATTCATGCTAGAATTGTATTGATCGGAAACTTAAATACATGTGTGGATACATAAACGAAGTACCATGTCCCTAGTAAGCCTCTACTAGACTAACTCGTTGATCAAAGATGGTTAAGGTTTCCTAACCATAGACATGTGTTGTCACTTGATAACGGTATCACATCATTAGGAAAATTATGTGATGGACAAGACCCATCCGTTAGCTTAGCATATGATCATTCAGTTTATTGCTATTGCTTTCTTAATGTCAAATACATATTCCTTCGACTATGAGATCATGCAACTCCCGGATACTAGAGGAATACCTTGTGTGCTATCAAACGTCACAACGTAACTGTGTGATTATAAAGATGCTCTACAGGTATCTCCGAAGGTGTTTGTTGAGTTGGCATGGATCGAGATTAGGATTTGTCACTCCGTGTATCGGAGAGGTATCTCTGGGCCCTCTCGGTAGTACACATCACAAGAAGCTTGCAAGCAAAGTGAGTAAGGAGTTAGTTACGAGATGATGTATTACAGAACGAGTAAAGAGACTTGTCGGTAACAAGATTGAACTAGGTATGAAGATACCGACGATCGAATCTCGGGCAAGTAACATAAGATAGACAAAGGGAATTACGTATGTTGTCATAAGGTTCGACTGATAAAGATCTTCGTAGAATATGTAGGAACCAATATGGTCATCCAGGTTTCACTATTGGTTATTGACCGAAGAAGTGACTCGGACATGTCTACATAGTTCTCGAAGCCATAGGGTCTGCACGCTTAACATTCGTTGACAATATAGTGTTATATGATTTGGTGACCAAATGTTGTTCAGAGTCCCAGATGAGATCACGTACATGATGAGGAGCTCCGGAGGTAAATATTGATAGGACGATGCTATTTGGACACCGGAAAGGTTTCGGGTTGTACCGGGTAACCATCGGATCACCAGAAGGGGTTCCGGTAGGCCCCGGGAGGTCTATGGGCCTAATGGGCCAAGGGGAGGCCGATTGTGGCTTGAACTACGTCGGTATTTCCCCAAAGAGGAAGGGATGATGCAGCACATCTACGGTAGGTATTTCCCTCAGTGATGAGACCAAGGTTATCGAACTAGTAGGAGAACCACGCAACACTACGAAAACGGTACCTGCATACAAAGAACAAATACTTGCAACCCGACGTAAAAGAGGGGCCGTCAATCACAACAAGGTAAAAAGATAGATAAAATTGTAGTAGATTGGATAAATAGATCTCGCAGGAACGCGAGATAAAATAAATAACAATAAATTACAACAAGGTATTTTTGGGATTTTGGATTAATAGATCTAAAAATAAAAGCGAATAAAAATAGATCTCGAAGGCAAATATGATCAAGAAGAGACCCCGGGGCCGTAGATTTCACTAGTGGCTTCTCTCGAGAAAAATAGCATACAGTGGGTAAACAAATTACTGTTGGGCAATTGATAGAACTTCAAATAATTATGACAATGGCCAGGCAATGATCTTTATATAGGCATCACGTCCAAGATTAGTAGACCGACTCCTGCTTGCATCTACTATCATTACTCCACATATCGACCGCTATCCAGCATGCATCTAGTGTATTAAGTTCATGGGAAAATGGAGTAATGCAATAAGAACGATGACATGATGTAGACAAGATCTATTCATGTAGGAGTAGACCCCATCTTGTTATTCTTAATAGCAACGATACATACGTGTCATTTCCCCTTCTGTCACTGAGATTGAGCACCATAAGATCGAACCCATCACAAAGCACCTCTTCCCATGGCAAGAAAAATCGATCAAGTCGGCCTAACTAAACCAAAGATTCGAAGAAGAAATATGAGGCTATAAGCAATCATGCATATAAGATATCAAAACTCAAATAACTTTCATGGATAAAATAAATCTGATCATAAACTCAAAGTTCATCGAATCCCAACAAACACACGCAAAAAGAGTTACATCAAATAGATCTTCAAGAGACCATTATATTGAGAATCAAAAGAGAGAGAGAGAGGAAGCCATCTAGCTACTAACTACGGACCCGTAGGTCTACAATGAACTACTCACGCATCATCAGAGAGGCACCAATGAGGATGATGAACCCCTTCGTGATGGTGTCTAGATTGGATCTGTGGTTTCTGGAACTTGCGGTGGCTGGAATTGTGTTTCGTCAACTCCCCTAAGGTTTTTGGAATATAGAGCAAAGAGGCGGTGCGCGAGGCGGCCGAGGTGGGCACAACCCACCAGGGCGCGTTTGGGCCCCCAGGCGCGCCCAGGTGGGTTGTGCTCCCCTCGGAGCCCCCCTCTAGTACTTCCTTGGCCCAACTTGTGTCTTCTGGTCCAAAAAAACTCCATAAAGTTTCGCTGCATTTGGACTCTGTTTGGTATTGATTTTCTGCGAAGTAAAAAACAAGCAAAAACAACAACTGGCTCCAGGCACTATGTCAATAGGTTAGTCCCCAAAAATGATATAAGGTTGCTATAAAATGACTGTAAAACATCCAAGAATGATAATATAACAGCATGGAACATTGAAAAATTATAGATACGTTGGAGACGTATCAGCATCCCCAAGCTTAATTCCCGCTCATCCTCGAGTAGGTAAATGATAAAAAACAGAATTTTTGATGTGGAATGCCGCCTAACATGTTCATCACATATTCTTTCTTTTGTAGCATGGACATTTGGACTTTTATATGATTCAAAGCAATAGTCTTGTTTTGACATGAAGATTTCAATACCCAAGCATATCAACAAGCAACCATGTCTTTCAAATATCAACATTAAAGCAAGTTATCCCTAGCCCATTATGCTCAATCATTGATCCATTCATGAAACACACTCGCATATTAGCTACACCCAATGCTCAAGTACGATCATAGTGCCCCTTAGTTGGTGCTTTATGAGAGAAGATGGAGACTCAAATAAAAATTGCATAAAGTAAATAGAAAAGCCCTTCGCAAAGGGAAGTAGGGATTTGTAGAGGTGATAGAGCTCAAAGCAAAAAAGATAGAGATAAAAACATTTTGGGTGGCATGCTTTTCTTGTCAACGAAAATGATCGAGTAGTTCCCAATACTTTCCATGCTAGATATATCATAGGAGGTTCCCAAACAGAAAATAAAGTTTATTATTTTTTCCACCATACTTTCACATTCCGCGGCTAACCGAATCCACGGGTGTCGTCCATACCAACACTTTCCAAGGAATTTATTATTTGACAACGTAAAGTAAATTCATTTTTCATTTCGGGACTTGGCATCCCTAATACCTTTGCCGTACTCTCGTGCAATGACAAGTGAATAAATACTCATCTTGAGAATAACACATCTAGCATGGAAAAATATCAGCCACCCCTACCATTTCATGAGCGGTACGAGCACACAAAAAGGAAATTTATTTTGAAGTTTAGAGATGGCACATACAAATTTTCTTAGAACGGCAAAAGAATACTGCATATAGGTAGGTATAGTTGACTCATATGTCAAAACTGGTTTAAGGATTTTGGATGCACAAGTAGTAATCCTACTTAGTACAACTGAATGCTAGCAAAAGATTGAGAAGCATCCAACCAAGAAAGGTAAAATCTCATACGCGAGTATTAAGCATAACTAACACCGAATAATGCAACATAAGTAGGATGTAACTTCATTGCATAACTATTGACTTTCGTGCTTGCATAGGGAATCACAAACCTTAACACTAATATTCTTACTAAAGCATAATTACTCATCAACATGACTCACATATTATATCATCATACCGCAAAACTATTACAAAGAATCAAGTCTATTTTGTCCAATGATCTTCATGAAAGTTTTTATTATATCCCTCTTGAATATCTATCACTTTAGGACTATTTTAATATGTTGCTTTTGATAGCTAAAACAAATCTAAGTGAAGAACATGAGCATAAAAAATTTCTTCTCTCAAAATAATTTAAGTGAAGCATGAGAGAAT